TAATAAAATTGGTTACTGACAGAGTGGTTTCCACTTACAGAAAATCCAACAACGCAACCACCATATATTCTATATCTATATCAAAGACGCGGACTCTTTTGTTGCTTTCCTACCGGAAAAGTTTTAATACACCAAAACATTACATATCATCTATGTTAATTCTGATGCTGGAAATCTTGTAATATGCAATTAACCTTTGCATATTTCACCTCTCCTAAGTTGGGTGATGTCCCTTCCTTAACAGGCCAATAAAATCGAGAAACATGTGCAAACAAGTAACATTACTTCTTCTCCTTCCTCTTGTTTCATAATCTCACATTTAAGAAGTGATTTTGAGATTTATTAGTGCGACATGGAGGTTGCCCAAGCCCAAGTCTAAGTTCGTACGAGAGGCTCAGTATCCAATTTAAGAGGCTTGATTTAGACTTGACCTAGAAAATCAAAGAATCTTTCTAAAAGCTTTTATAATATTCTTTCACCAAAAAGACATCCATCTTAATGAACATATCATATCTATTTGTAAACTCCTATAAAGCTAGCCATGTTTTCAATTAAGAGCAATAAATAGAGTTTTTCACTCCATTTCTTTTCTTCAAGTTTGTAGGTTATTTAGGCTTACTCACTGTTTAATCCCTATTCTTCTACTAGAGTCAAGAAAGTCTTCTAGGGTTAGGGGAGGACAAAACCGGGTACCCTACCCAAATGTACCTTTTTACTACCCGACTCAAATATTTGGATAGTATAAAATAATACCCGATAATTGAACTGGTTTATGCAATACCCAAACATGGGGTACCCGAAATTTCGGTTTTGTTAGCGGGTACCCGAATTTCTTGCAATATTGTTTCCAAACAAAAATTTCTCTGCCAAAACCATCAAAAAGACAAAAACAACATAAACATCGTAAAGTTAATGAATTAATTGAGCAAAAAAATATAGAAATAATTATTCACAATATAAAGAGCTCAACACAGATAATTATCAAATACCTTTTGTGAACTGGAGAAATTGAGAAATAAAGAACTGATGCAAGCGAAATTAGTGGAGACTGGAGAGAACAAAACTGATGCAAGCTAAATGGAGAAATGGAAAAATAAAGAACTGATGCAAGCGAAATCAGTGGAGACTAGAGAGAACAAAACTGATGCAAGCTAAATAGAGAAATGAAGAAGAAGATGCGAGTGAAATTAGTGGAGAGAATAGAGAAATGGAGAGATTAGTGGAGAGAAAATGATAAATGAAGAAGAACATGAGAAGTTGTGACTAGATAAATGTAGAGAAAGGGAGAAATGGAAAAACAAAGAAGAAGGTTATTTGGGTTTAGGGCAAATTGATTTGGGATTTTACTTTTTTTTTTTTAAAAATCTTAAATGTAACCCTGCATCCGAACCAAAAATTGGGGACCAACTTAAATACTACCCGACCCGACCCGTTTTTTCAGATACCCGAAAATTTTGGCCCGGTCCGATTACCATATTCGGTTCAGGTTATGGGTATTTTTGTCCACTCCTAATTCTACTGTTTGTGAAACCACAGGCCCAACTTTGCTATAAAAAATGAAATAACTTAAGGTTAAGCCCATTGGCCAGCATATTAAACAGGTCGAGAGACCCGGATCCAAGGACTATCAATGGCAGTATGCTAAGCGCTAGCGCAGCCGTTGATTCAGCAGCGGCCCGTATTCGATAATCACAGCACAATCACCCACCGAAACTGCCACATCTAAAATGCACGCACGCATCATTTTGATCTAACGGCTAACAACCAAAATCATGTGCTTTGAATTTTGATAAATTTGTGTTGTTTTTTAATTGTAGTTGTAAATAAATTATATTTCTGATAAATTTTTAGTTATGAAAAAGTTTTTGACCAAAAGAAAGTTTTGTAATGAGGAACCATCAATTGAACAAAACATAAGACGTCACGATAGTGTTCACGATGAGTCTATGGAATCTAGTTCAAGACAAATATATGTTAAGCTTAACTTAAGTAATCTTCTTGCAGATCATGTATTAAAGATTAAAATTTTAGAATATCATCATAATGGTAGAGACAATGTGATAAATTCATACGTGCAAAAAGGACCTTGCCAACCACACAATCATAATTTTAAAAAGCGAGCAATTAGGAATTTAATGAGTCGTTTTAATCTTGTTTGGTTTAGAGAATATGCAAATTGGTTGGAGTATAGTGTAGAAAAAGGGGGTGTTTTTGTTTGTCTTGTTATCTTTTTAGATGTTAAATTAACATTGATATTACTTGTTGCAACTGCAAGTGTTGAAAGAGTATTTTCTACGATAAAGATTGTGAAAAATCGACTACGGAATCGAATGAAAGATCAATTGTTAAATGATTGTATTATTAAATATATTAATAGAGAGTTATTTTATAGAATTGTCAATGAAGCAATTATATAACGTTTTCAGAATATGAAAAATTGTCGAGAATAATTATAAAATTGATAATTTGGTATATATAACTTTTAAAAGTTTATTTTTTATGTTTATTACTTCATGTGTGTAGAATATGAAAAATTATCAAGAATACTTATAGAATTGATAATTTAAAATATATAACTTTTAAAATTTCATTTTTTATGTTTACTACTTCTCGTGTGTGTGTGTGTATATATATATTTGTTCATGAATTGATAACATTGATGTTTTTCGTTTTTCCAGTCGTAATGAGTAATGATTTCACGACATCTGTCTTGGAACAAATTCCTTGAATCATGTGATTTGTGCAACAAATTCAGTACAATAATTTCTTTACATGACCTTTGTCTCCTTACTTTTGAATAAATGGTTTGTGAGATTCATTTGATAAAGCATACTCATGTAAAGTGGATGGGTACTATTATAGTGGTGCTGGCAACTCCAGCACCAACAGTATTGGACGTGACTTGATTTTATGTATGGATAAAACCAGATAATTAAAGGACATGGTTTCTCATAAAAGCCCTTCTAGTCTTGCGGCAAAAATTAAATGTCTGCAACAAGAGCTCAGTATTACGAAGAAATTGTTGTTTGGCTAATAAAATTGGTTACTGACGGAGTGGTTTCCACTTGCAGAGAAAATCCAACAACGCAACCACCATATATTCTATATCTATATAAAAGACGTGGACTTTTGTTGCTTTCCTACCGGAAAAGTTTTAATACACCAAAACATTACATATCATCTATGTTAATTCTGATGCTGGAAATCTTGTAATATGCAATTAACCTTTGCATATTTCACCTCTCCTAAGTTGGGTGATGTCCCTTCCTTAACAGGCCAATAAAATCGAGAAACATGTGCAAACAACATTACTTCTTCTCCTTCCTCTTTTTTCATAATCTCACATTTAAGAAATGATTTTGAGATTTATTAGTGCGACATGGAGGTTGCCCAAGCCCAAGTCTAAGTTCGTACGAGACGCTCAGTATCCAATTTAAGAGGCTTGATTTAGACTTGACCTAGAAAATCAAAGAACCTTTCTAAAAGCTTTTATAATATTCTTTCACCAAAAAGACATCCATCTTAATGAACATATCATATCTATTTGTAAACTCCTATAAAGCTAGCCATGTTTTCAATTAAGAGCAATAAATAGAGTTTTTCACTCCATTTCTTTTCTTCAAGTTTGTAGGTTATTTAGGCTTACTCACTGTTTAATCCCTATTCTTCTACTAGAGTCAAGAAAGTCTTCTAGGGTTAGGGGAGGACAAAACCGGGTACCCTACCCAAATGTACCTTTTTACTACCCGACTCAAATATTTGGATAGTATAAAATAATACCCGATAATTGAACTGGTTTATGCAATACCCAAACATGGGGTACCCGAAATTTCGGTTTTGTTAGCGGGTACCCGAATTTCTTGCAATATTGTTTCCAAACAAAAATTTCTCTGCCAAAACCATCAAAAAGACAAAAACAACATAAACATCGTAAAGTTAGTGAATTAATTGAGCAAAAAAATATAGAAATAATTATTCACAATATAAAGAGCTCAACACAGATAATTATCAAATACCTTTTGTGAACTGGAGAAATTGAGAAATAAAGAACTGATGCAAGCGAAATTAGTGGAGACTGGAGAGAACAAAACTGATGCAAGCTAAATGGAGAAATGGAAAAATAAAGAACTGATGCAAGCGAAATCAGTGGAGACTAGAGAGAACAAAACTGATGCAAGCTAAATAGAGAAATGAAGAAGAAGATGCGAGTGAAATTAGTGGAGAGAATAGAGAAATGGAGAGATTAGTGGAGAGAAAATGATAAATGAAGAAGAACATGAGAAGTTGTGACTAGATAAATGTAGAGAAAGGGAGAAATGGAAAAACAAAGAAGAAGGTTATTTGGGTTTAGGGCAAATTGATTTGGGATTTTACTTTTTTTTTTTTAAAAATCTTAAATGTAACCCTGCATCCGAACCAAAAATTGGGGACCAACTTAAATACTACCCGACCCGACCCGTTTTTTCAGATACCCGAAAATTTTGGCCCGGTCCGGTTACCATATTCGGTTCAGGTTATGGGTATTTTTGTCCACTCCTAAATCTACTTTTTGTGAACCCACAGGCCCAACTATGCCATAAAAAATGAAATAACTTAAGGTTAAGCCCATTGGCCAGCATATTTAACAGGTCGAGAGACCCGGATCCAAGGACTATCAATGGCAGTATGCTAAGCGCTAGCGCAGCCGTTGATTCAGCAGCGGCCCGTATTCGATAATCACAGCAGAATCATCCACCGAAATTGCTACATCTAAAATGCACGCACGCATCATTTTGATCTAACGGCTAACAACCAAAACCATGTGTTTTCGTTAACCCCGTGTCACCTCCTGGCGCACAATAGCTTTTTTTCGCTTCATTAACTATTATCCTCCATGGATGCGCGGTGTTCACCCCACCCCTTAACCTACCCGCCCCCGCCACTGAATGACGCTTTGTTTCTTTAAGTATTTTAAATTTTCTCCGCGGCTTTTTTTTTGTGCGTAAAAATTATACAGATTTTATTTTCATGTTGTTTATTATTTCCTCTAGTCGGAATTTGATTAAAGTTACGTATTTGGATTGGATCAGACTGTTGTCGTACTGTGATTGGATCAAATTAAGATGAAGGTGCCTAGGGTTTCAATGAGCTGGAGATTAGTGTTGTATACAAGCAGTTAGCTCATATGTAAGTTCTATTTTATCATTTTGTTTGTAAATGATGTTAGTTTGACTCACATTTTAGTTACGAGGTTTGCAAATCTGCTGATTTGTATAGACTCTTAATGGAAGATTTTTTTCTTGTTTTGGCTTTATGCAAATTAATATGCATAATTGGTGTTTGTCCTGTTTAATTAATTTATAATGTGATTGTTGTGCTATTATTATATTTTTGCACTTCCTAAGTTTCTATATCAATTGTTAACATTGGGGTTTTTTTTTTTTTTTTTTTTTTTTCTGCTTGAAAATAGAGAAGAAATGAAAAGAAGAGAGAAACTGTTGCTTTAAGTCTTTTTCTATGTTGTGAGGACTTGTAATGTTGGTATCTACTTGTTTGATGCTCAGTTTCTAGTAGTTTATTATCTTCTTTTAGTATTTTGCAACCTTAAATTTATAGGAGAACTACTTGGATAATCTGATGGTAAAGTCACTGAAGATGATTTTCCTGTTCTATTATCTGGACTTACTACTTCATTAGGTCATTAGCGTTTTGATGGATTTGAAATCATAAAGTTTTTTTGAGACTTTAAAGCTTTTAAATCTACTTATAGATTTCATATCAGAGGACAATGGTAAATCACATATAGGTTTATGTAGTTCGGGAGTTGTGACTATTGACAAAAATAAAATATGGGAGTATTGAGAAAGCAATGTGCAAACAAATTGCATGCACGTAGGTGGGACTGTACCTGATAAATAAAAAAGGGAAAATGATCCTTTGTGTCAGAATACCCCTTCACTGTTATTTGTTTGGTTTTAGACAGGACATCATTTATAAGTCTCAATAATTGTGTGCAGGAACTAGATCTGCAATCTGAGCTATCTACTGTGAAGATAATGTCGGAGCTAACAGGTATTATGAAAGAAACTTCTGAAAATGGCACAGGGTCATCTGCAGATGATATTGGCAGCATTGAGGAAATGCCAGAGGACACTATTTTATCTCAACAAACTTCCGTTACCCTTGTCCCATTTATTGGCCAAAGATTTGTTTCACAAGATGCAGCGTATGAATTTTATTGCAGTTTTGCAAAGCAATGTGGCTTTTCAATTAGACGTCATCGTACTCGAGGCAAAGATGGTGTAGGTAGGGGAATTACGAGGAGGGATTTCACCTGCCACCGTGGTGGCCATCCACAACTGAAGCCATCAGATGATGGGAAAATGCAAAGAAATCGAAAATCATCTCGGTGTGGATGTCAAGCATATATGCGAATTGTTAAAAGGGCAGATTTTGATGTTCCTGAATGGCGTATCACTGGTTTCAGCAATGTCCACAACCATGAACTGTTGAAATCAAATGAGGTACGGCTGCTTCCTGCTTACTGCTCTATATCTGCAGATGATAAGAGTCGGATTTGCCTATATGCAAAAGCTGGTATGTCAGTGCGACAAATGTTAAGATTAATGGAGCTAGAGAAGGGTGTTAAGTTAGGTTGTTTACCATTCACGGAAGTAGATGTCAGGAACCTCTTGCAGTCATTTAGGAATGTGGATCGAGATAGTGATGCTATGGACCTTCTTAAAATGTGCAAATACAAGAAGGACAAAGATCCCAACTTTAAGTATAACTTCCAGATAGGTGCAAATAACAGGTTGGAGCATATTGCCTGGTCATATGCTTCATCTATTCACTCATATGAGGCTTTTGGGGATTCCATATTGTTTGACACCACACACCGTTTGGATTCTTATGATATGATTCTAGGGATTTGGCTTGGAGTTGACAATCATGGAATGAATTGTTTCTTTGGTTGTGTACTCCTACGAGATGAAAATGTGCAGTCTTTTTCCTGGGCATTGAAGGTAAGAAGCTGTCTAACAATTTCCATAGGTATGGAGATCTTCAGCATTGGTGGCTTAGAATTCCATATTTTATGTATGAACCTTCTTATTATCATTTTAGAGAGGAAAATGACCAGACACTTAGCTATTCTATACATGAGCACATGCATTCTGCCTGTAGTTTTGTCTTGCAATTAAAATTTGTGTAGTTTAAGAAATTGGTTTCCTTTTTAAACTTGTTTATGAGCTTAAGCTGACAAATGATCTTCCCCTTCTGACAAGATTATCCAATGCCATTATTTTCCCATGTATTAGGCAATTACATCATTGTTGAATTGGAACATACAATCTCTTTTTATTGTGGATGATTAGTTTTTAACCATCGTACTTGTTTTTCCTTAAAACTTGGGATCTTAACCTGAGAGTTTAAGATTGATGTTGATGGTAGATTTATTAGAACTTTCGGTGTCAAGAGTGTAATACCCATACCTAATTGCAACAATTTTTTTTTTTTTTGGCTTTATTGGGAAGGCAATAGAGTAACAGACCCCATTTACTTTTTTTAGTCTAGGTTCAGTAATTTATCATCTTCATCATACACAACTCTTAATCACAACAGACCTTAACCCTAATATTTCACATTTCTGTAGAACTTTTACACCAAAATATTGGATTATATCTTACATTTTTTCCTTTTTGACTTTTTCCTGTCCCTGATTGTGCATGGCAGACATTCTTGGACTTCATGAATGGAAAGACACCACAAACGATATTAAGTGACCAAAATATGTGGCTTAAAGAAGCAATTGCTATTGAAATGCCAAGGACCAAGCATGGCTTTTGCATATGGCATATCATAGCAAAGTTCACTGATTGGTTTTCTGTAGTGCTTGGGTTAAAATATGATGAATGGAAGGCTGAATTTCGTCAGCTTTATAATTTGCATTCTGTGGAGGATTTTGAGGCAGGATGGAGTGAGATGGTTGATAAATATGCGCTACATGCAAATAAGTACATTATCAGCTTATATGCATTGCGCACTTTTTGGGCCCTCCCATATTTGAGGTGTTACTTTTTTGCTGGAATGACGAGTACTTTCCAATCAGAGTTGATAAACTCTTTTATCCAACGGTTTTTGAGTGCACAGTTTCATGTTGATAACTTTGTAGAGCAGGTCAGTAACCTAGCTTGTTTCTCTTATGTTCTTGATTTGTGTGATTTTGTTCATTATGCTGACCTCCTTTGTACAGGTGGCTGCTATTGTTGAATTTAAAGATGAAGCGGGAGGAAAACAAAAGATGCAACGGAAGGTCCAGAAAATCTCCCTAAAAACAGGATCTCCAATGGAATCACATGCTGCTGCTGTTCTTACACCATATGCCTTTAGCAAACTACAAGAAGAGCTTGTTTTGGCTCCACAATATGCATCACTTATGGTGGATCAGACTTATTTTATTGTGAGACACCATACAGACGTTGATGGAGGGTGCAAAGTACTCTGGATCCCACATGATGACTTCATTAGCTGCAGCTGCCATTTGTTTGAGTTTTCTGGAATCCTTTGCAGACATGTTCTTCGTGTTCTATCAGCAAACAACTGTTTCCAAATTCCAGACCGTTGTTTGCCCACCCGTTGGCGTATTGTCAACTCATCTCTGATAAAGCCCTTCCAGATTTCTACTTCAGATGAACATACAGGAAAAGTACAATTATTGCAGTCCATGGTTTCAACTCTTATTTCAGAATCAACTGAGACAGAAGAACGCCTCGATGTTGCTTGCGATCAAATTTCTATGGTCTTATCTCGTATCAAGGAATTTCCTGGGCCAGCACATGGTTCCAATGATTGTACTTATAACAGTCCATCTGACTCATTGATACTTCCAGAGGTTGAAGATTCTGATGCAATTGTACAAAGTTATACTGCTGGGAATTCACAGGAGTCTATAACCCTGGGAAAACTGAAAGAGAGAAGACCAAGGGATGGCATAGATATATATAGAAAACGCAGGCGTTGCTCTGTGCCTTGTTGTGGTCAGTTTGGACATGACACAACCGATTGTCCAATGATGGGAGCTGATGATTTGAATGGAGATGGGCTGGGATTTCTGTAGGATGAATGTATATGGGTAGAAGAAATCTGGGCTTATGCTCATACACAAATATTAGAATTTTTTCTTTTTTTCATCTTTCCACATTTTTTTTCCAGTTCTTATTTGTAGAAGTCTATTAACATTCTAGCAATACCAAGAGGATTGAGGAATTCGTCTGCATTTCTTTAGAGTTGTCTAATCCATTAACCTCTTAATGTGTATTGACATTAGAAGCTGGATGTCCGTGTGTTACATGATTACTGATCAGTTCAACTGAAGAAGCTCGTTCGCGTGTGCTTAAATCTTATATATAAAACTTGTTGATTGTCGTCTATAAGAAATATTTTGATTGCAAATTCGAATCATAGTGATAGGTCAAAGGATCTAATCAGGTTGACCTTGCTCTTATGATACTAATTGCTGTGTGNGAATTCGTCTGCATTTCTTTAGAGTTGTCTAATCCATTAACCTCTTAATGTGTATTGACATTAGAAGCTGGATGTCCGTGTGTTACATGATTACTGATCAGTTCAACTGAAGAAGCTCGTTCGCGTGTGCTTAAATCTTATATATAAAACTTGTTGATTGTCGTCTATAAGAAATATTTTGATTGCAAATTCGAATCATAGTGATAGGTCAAAGGATCTAATCAGGTTGACCTTGCTCTTATGATACTAATTGCTGTGTGGATTGTATATGCTTTCTGTTGATATAGCTTAAGACGTAGATGGTCAGATTACTTGAATTATTATATTTTCCATTTGTTTAATTGTTTATATATATATATATATATGCCATCTCATGAGGGCAATGGTGAGAATACAGACAAAAATATCGATAATTCCAGAGATTTTTGTCAAACAAAATGAAGTTTCTATCATAGTTAACTTGATTTGAACAAGAGTGCATGTATTATGATAGCATAAAAAGAGTCATAAGCAGTATCTATTTATGCTAGTTTTCAGTATCATCAGCCAATGAAACCTTGCTTAGCCTACTTGGCAATGTTCTGACATCGTTGGTTCTCTCCTTTCTGCTTCCACCACGGCGGCTGCTTGTTCCATAAACTGCTCTACGTGCAAGTGTTTTCCCCAAGTCGGATTTCTCAGATGCATTTCTATGTGGTGGTCTTTGTTGCTCACTGGAATCAGGTTGGATGCTGTCAATATATTCGGTGTCTGAAACTCCAGCTTTTGCTGTTTCAGTGGCCATTTTTATATTCCTTCACAGTGATGCGAAGGAATTGTGAGGAGGAAGAGGAGAAGGCAATGCAGATGAAGGTGTGTATGGCGGACAGGTAAGCAAATAGTTTTATACTGTTTTAAATAGAAAAAGTTTGTTAAAGTAGGCACTAGGCAGACGTCTTTCTTACTTTACCTCAGGAAATGATGTTGGTATCTGATTTTGGATAAGTGGAGGGAGTTTTGAGGCTATATCGTTTTTGGGCCGAAAGAGTACTCTTCATAGAATACTCCTTTACACCGTTTTACCAGGTTCCAAGTAATGTGTAACTTTAATAGGAAGCAACTAAATTATCATAACAGCGTTCACTTTCGCTATGCATTACTGTCTCATTGCAATTAAAAGTTATCACATCAGCCCTCAGCCGTCTTGCAAAAATAACAATGACATTATAGATGAGCAACAGGTTGTCTGTGTTAAAGAAACGGGGAAAGTTTGGTCATATGGGAAGAATGAGGTATTTAGAATTCAGATCATTTGTTCGATACATTATTAGGTTTTTTAATGCATAGAAACTACTGTTCCAAATAGTTGCCTTCCTATAATGGCACTGAGAACATGAAGCAATTGAACAGATGGTAGGATGACAGTCATACTCGTCAATCAACTTTTGATAATTTTTGACTGAATCATAGAAAGGTGAAGAAGGGTTGGGAGTTGGGCCATGTGAACTGTCTCCAGCTTTTGGACTGTGATTAGATTTCTGTATGCATCCCCAAAGCAACTGTAAGAAGCTTTTCCCTTCTTTTTCCCATTCATGAAAATTACATAAACAATCCAATCAATGCATCTTACATGACAGCCTCTTATCTCTATCTTAAAACACCTTTAAAAGAGTATACTGTCGTCGGGTGGCTGATTTTAAAAATAAGTGCGTCAAATTTCCACATAGAAAAAGTTGAGTACCTACATTTATCTTTCTTAGGTGAGTGAATGTTAACCCCTGCTCCCTCCTGGTATCATGATTCAGCCTGGACGCTTCAGCGCTGAAGCGTTCTCAAGGAAATGAGGGATGGCTATTTATCACAAAGCTGTTAATTGAGAACAAATATGTGTCTTTAAGATGCTAATTAGCGTAAACGGATTATATAATGACCAGCTATAAGTGCGCATCATTGCATAAAGTATATACGTGGATACTACACATTACTCTAAACAAGGACACATGACAAAGTTATTGGTTGTCTCATATAAATTCACAATCATTTTTCCCTCTAATTAACCTTGACGTTGATGTCTTCACTCTTCAGCCTTGACGTAATTAGTTCTCCTCCTCCATTTATAATTGTTATTAAGCACATCATTGGTCAAATAAAATTTATAATTGGTATCATGCTTGAGTAGAACATAACTTAAATTGTATTCCTTCTGCATCAATTGCCACAGCAACTATAATGATAACTATAGGAGCACGGTTTTCAACATAGTCCTTCAACTACAATTATACAGAACCGAGCATATTACTTCAGATGTCTAGTATCTGTCTGAGTTTTTTTTTTAATTAAAAAAAAAAAAAGAGGGAAAATCGTACTACACTAAATTTTAGGGCAATATATCAACCTCGGTTATTAACAGTTACCCTTGCTACAAATCAATGTATCTTTAGACACCCTGAATCGTCCAAAACCTTGCCAAGCTTCTGTGCTGCAGCTGCCAAAGTATCATTGCTTTTGCAGAAGGCAAACCTGATGTATCTCTTATGATAGCTATTTCCAACTTCAGATGAATTTTCCCGTGAGAAATTTGTGTGAAAAAATCCACATCCTGGCACAGCTACCACCTCCGCTTGTTTTATCATTTCTTCAACATATTCTACCTGAAGATAACTGGAATTCATCATTGATTACATCAAAGTAATTAATATCATACCATCAACAAACAGATGAGCAAAAAGGTTGACATCACTATCAACCAACTGCTTATGAGAGGCCTAATGGAAAATTTGATGGAACCACTGCTATATGTAATTTCTTAGAATCATAATACCAAAAAAAGTAATTTCAAAAATACTTACATCAGAAAGTAAACAGTTCTGAGGAAGCTCTGCAAATAAAAAGAATGAGCCCTGAGGCTTAAAATGAATCTGGAAACCAATCCCACCGAGCAACTTCACAACATAGTCTCTTTTGAATTCATATTCCTAGAGTTAACAGAAATGTTAGCATTAATCTAACAATTCTGAATATTAATGTATCAAGTTAAGCATGATGTCCCATTTGAATTACTGCTGAATCTACTATAAGCTGTTAGAACCATCAATTTCAGAAATGAAAAGGAGTTCTTCTTGCATCTTACCTTTCTCAGTGATTCAAAGTATTCCAAGGGGCTGCTCAAAGCAGTCAAAGCAGCCTCCTGGAATGGTGCTGGAGCAGAATCCGTCATTTTAACATGAATGTTTCTGATTGCAGATGCAATGATAGGAGGAGCAATGGCCCATCCAACCCTCCAACCTGATAGACAACACAACAAAATGAAACAGGGCAATGAATGGTAACTGGATGCAATAACTCACTACCCCTCGGTATAGCAGTATGTGAAAATTTCGGTACTATAGAGGTGGATAGCTACCAAGTGCCATGAGAATTGAGATACTACTCTTAACAAATATCAAGGAAGAATTGCATTTTCCAGTGTGAGCAAATTTATAATGTAGTCCCTCTCACTGAGATGTTAGCTTTGACCTGTAACGCTAAAAGTTTTTGATAAGGAAGATGTGATGATAGTCCGCTCTTGCATTCCTGGAAGGGAGGCAAGGGATGTATGCTTCTCGTTCTCAAAAATTATATGCTCATATACCTGCAAAAGCATTATAGGAAGATAGTCAAATAACCTCCAAACAAAGCAGAATAATTATGTTATCTCAATTCTTTACCAGCAGTTGCAGTCTGAAAACTGGTGCTGCTACATGTAAAGAGCCAAAAAACAAAAAAAAAAAAAAAAATTGTGTATACTATACTTCGGTGAAAAGATAATGTTGATAAAAATGTAAAAAAAAACTAATAAGTTCCACATGATGAAGTTTTTACGAGTCTCTATGTATCAAGACTCTTTAAACTAAAGATTTTTTAATATCTGTTACTCCCTCCTCCCCTTTTTTTTCTACCATCTTTGATGAGGAGTTTAATGATAAATTGCTATTTTATTAAATTTATTTAAGATATAGACCAATCAACCTGAAAGTGGACAACGCAAATTGCTCCTTGACAGCAATAACAAAACAAAATTCCATGAATATTCAGTAAAAGACTGACATCATTCCTTCAAACTCATTTAAAGCAAAATAATTAATGGCACAAATCTCCCAACAAATCATCTGTTCTTTCATCATATTAATTTCATCTTGTAAATTAAAATTGCTGATAACATTAATTGCTTGAATGACAAATCTAGTCAATCATGCTTATATTCCATGAAAACTTACTTACAAGAAAAAGATTTATCATACTTCATCAGTTATAGCTAGGCAATCCTTTATGCAGCAAGCTCCAGCGATAATCTCAAGCTCGTCTTCGGAAAAAATTTTGCCAGTTGGGTTGTGAGGGCTGTGCCAATTCGTATAAGTAAACTTCTGAATCGAAAAATAAGAAATAACTTCTTTTTTTTTGGTTGAAATTTGGATAAAGAATTGCGCATGTTATTCCTACCTATTCAATACTATAGCTTTTGTTTTAGCAGTAATAGACTTGATGAATTTATGTGGATCCAATGTCCAGTGAGGTGGATCAAGAGCTACATATACCTATCAAACTCCATTCAAAACGTTAGTAAATGTGAGTAGCACCTCCTATTAAACTCAAAAATTGATAATCATATCTTACTGGGACTCCTCCAGCAACGATTATGGATGCTTCATATGTTTCATATGCAGGATCAAAGAGCACAACTTCATCACCTTTGTCTATTACTATCCAATTAGAACAAGGAACATGAGTATCTGAATTTAATTTAACTGCCATCAGAAAAAAGCAAGTTAATAAGACACATACCAGCAAAAACTGCTGCTGCAAACGCCTCTGTTTGGCCACAGCAAATGGCGATATCACTCAGAGGATCAACATTTAAACCATGCATTTGCTTCACTATTTTGGCCAACTGCTCACAGATTCCTTGCACGTGTCTTACATTTAAACAAGAAGGTTGAATTAATTAAAACTCAGCTTATTATGAGAAATTCAGTAGTTCCATTTGAAGAAAGAAGGAAATAGAGTGAAATTGATAAGTAACCTGTACTGATTGAAGTCAGAATTGATAGCGGAAACGGCTGCGTTTTTGATGTGGAGAGGAGCAGGAAAGTCTGGGAAGCCTTCAGCGAGGTTGATTGCGTTGCATCTCTGAGCAAGAAATGAGAGTTGTTGAATCGGTGATGGAGTGAAAGACTTAGCAGCTGAAGATAGCTTCTTCTCCATACCTCTCTCCGTCCGTCGCTGGCCTCGTGGCCTTATCTTGTATTACTCTGTATATATATATATATATATATCAACTCTGACATCTTGTCAGGTGTCACAACATTTCAATTGAATTCTGGGTGGTCTTAACATCTAACAAAATTTAAAAATTTTATCATTTTTTTTCTTTTTAATAAATAAAATATATATTAATACAGTAAATTGTTTATTAATTATGTAGTGTTGGTAATGAGTTAAATGTGTGTTGGGTGTGGTTCATAGTCTGCATGAGTTATTGCTCAAAAAAGATAAAAGAATATTTATTATCAGTTACATTATAATGGTTTAATTATAGATAATAAACTCATAATCTATGCCTGGGATAGTTGTTGGGATCTAATCTCTTTCACTCTGTGATTAATAAGATTTCCTTTATATTCACAAAGTCTTATTTTTTTATTTAAAATACTGTATCAAATATTGTCAATTTAGCAGTTCTTCAAGTAGAAACATAGATAACGAAAACAGAATTGGAAAAAATAAATTATTTGATTCCTCATCCGATTAAATTTCCTCTCTTTTTTCATCCTTTAAACTTCGGTTAATAACAATAATCCCCTTTAGGTATAATCAAGTAGCAAAATTTCCCTTCTAGTTAAAGAAATGACATAAATTCTCTTACCTTAATTTTTTTGGTGTTAAAATAAGTTGTATAAGGGCAATTGAGTAAATATATATTCATCCATCAAGTTATAAATTTTAATAATACATTAACGCCTAGTTAATAGAAAGGAGATTTTTGTTATTTTTGAAAGATCAATAAAACTTTATTATTTAATTAACCGTCAGGGTCCAACAATAACTATCCTGGCATATGTATGTGTAACATTGGATTTTGTTAGAAGTTATCTATGATGAGTAATACCATGTGCGACCTATGTAAAACCTGTTGTGAACTGATTAATTACGAACTGTCATATTAGAGTTGTGAAAGAAAATGTGAGAAGTTATCTATGGTGTAGTATATAGATAACTTCTAACAAAATTCAATGTTATACATACATATGCCAGGAAACCTGTTGATGAGTAATACCATGTGCGACCTATGTGAAATCTGTTGTAAACTGATTAATTACGAACTGTCATATTAGGGTTGTGAAAGAAAGTGTGAGAAAGGGTTGTTGGTGTAGTATTATTCTATGATATATCACCCATTCTATAATTTTTTAAACATTTGAATTTGCTTTGAAAATATACAACAGTATTTCCCGGAAACTACATTTCAAATTATTCCTTATGTTTTGGTAACAAATTGTAAGCATAAAATATCTAGAAATTATGCATAAAAAATCTGTAATTCCTTTAGAATTGCAACCTTTTTAATGATGTTATTATGTTATTTTTGGTGTGATATAATCTATTATCCTATCCTCGTATAATTTTTAATCTGTAGATATCATTAATTAAGCAAATTAATTTTCAAAAAACAAAAAAAAAAAACCTCCATTTAAATCGTCAAACCCATTTTTGTCATTGGCCAGTTTTATTATTATTTTACTCAACTTTCCGTTGTTTCTCATTATTTTAAGTCATCACGGCAGAGGCAACGTTAGGGTTCCCCAACTTCAAATTCAAAAACTACTAAACTAGTGGCAATATCGTAAATAACACCCCATCCAAGGGTGGTTTGACATGTGCAGTTAGTTGGATCACTTTATAAGAACATCCACCTCCACCTTTCCTCTCCGTCGGATCAAATCATCATCCTCAATTCATTCGAAAAAATCCAAAATCCGCCTTCATCTTCCTGTCTCACTCCTCTCACGCTCTCTAAAAACAGCGTCGTTCTCAGCCGATCAACGGCACCTGTTTTAATAGTGAGGGTTTCTGTTTATTCGAGATTCGATTTAATCTAAAACAGAAGCGACCATGTCTCTGAGACCCAACGCTAGAACTGAGGTTCGCAGAAGCAGGTACAAGGTAGCTGTGGATGCCGAAGAAGGACGCAGAAGGAGAGAAGACAACATGGTAGAGATCCGAAAGAACAAGCGAGAAGAGAGTTTACTCAAGAAGCGACGCGAAGGACTTCAGGCTCAACAACAACTCTCCTCTTCTCTCACTTCTTCCGCTCCTGATAATAAGAAGGTTTTCATCATATACACGCGTCTTCGATTCTACTGTTACTGATTTAATTTTCTTGTTCTTGTTCTTGTTCTGTAGTAAATGATTATGCTTGAGTTAACTGTAAACCGCTAGGGTTACATTTTGGTGATCGTATATGTTTAATTTAGTTTTGATTTTCTTTTATAGATTTTGAATTATTGTATTTCGTTTTTTTAATTAGTGAAGCGGTTCTTTCTTTGAAGAATTTTATGAATTTCTTAGTGTAGTGTTTGGAGGTTTTGATACATTTTGTAATCAATACGTTCAAAACTTTATTCGAAATGATGGGAAGTGGTTCCCTTATACACTTTGGTATTGTACTTGCCATGTAATGGGTTGGATAGACCATTGACTTTCAGTAGATGAAACATTCTTGATTCTCTCTCTCTCTCTCTCTCTCTCTCTCTCTCTCTTTAAATCAATTGAATTAAGAACGTATTCATCAATCCAATTGCAGTTAGAAAGTCTCCCAGCGATGGTTGCAGGCGTTTGGTCAGATGATAGGAATGCACAGCTTGAGGCTACCACTCATTTCAGGAAACTACTCTCAATAGGTTCATCTTTCATTTTATAACTAATTGTTCTTATTATTGTATTATTTTTCACAAAGGTGTAATTAGCAATCTAATTTTTTTTTTATTGAATCTGACTACAGAACGCAGTCCTCCAATCAATGAAGTTATACAATCTGGTGTTGTTCCTCGTTTTATAGATTTTCTTTCAAGGGACGACTTCCCACAGCTCCAGGTTTTAATTAGCTCCCCATCTTATTCATTTGAGGCATTCAATTCATTTTTTTTTTCAATTATTTGATTTCTGTTCTTCTAATCAGCTTCTTACTGTTTTGGGTGATGTTCAGTTTGAGGCTGCTTGGGCTCTTACAAATATTGCTTCGGGGACATCAGAAAATACTAGGGTCGTGATTGATCATGGGGCTGTGCCAATATTTGTTAAACTTTTAAGTTCTCCAACAGATGATGTTCGAGAGCAGGTATATGTTGTATATGGTCATGTTTTTGTTTTTGCTTTTTTATTTCATTTTTTCTTCTTTCAGCATGCAATACAAGTACAGTATTTAAAGCCATTTTCTGGATATTTAGGCTGTTTGGGCATTGGGAAATGTAGCTGGTGACTCACCTAAATGCCGTGATCTTGTCCTCAGCCATGGGGCTTTGCTGCCATTGCTGGCACAGTTCAATGAACATGCTAAGCTTTCAATGCTGCGAAATGCAACATGGACATTGTCAAACTTCTGCAGGGGCAAGCCGCAGCCTTTGTTTGAGCAGGTTGGATATTGTTGGTTATTATGTGCTTTTTATCTCATTTTTTCTGACATTGGTTACTAATGTCTGGTTCCTTTTATTTTCCATGATCAGACAAAGCCTGCACTTCCAGCTCTTGAGCGCCTTATACATTCAAATGATGATGAAGTCCTCACAGATGCTTGCTGGGCTTTATCATACCTATCAGATGGCACCAATGACAAAATCCAAGCTGTTATTGAGGCCCGTGTCTGCCCCAGGCTAGTCGAACTTTTACTGTGAGTATTTCATTTTCTTTTCTGTATGTTGAATCATTATTTACTTTTTGTTTCTACTTTATTTCAATATCTCACTTGTGAAATCTGAATTCTTTAAACCTGTGTATATTTCTAGTCATCCATCTCCATCAGTGCTCATTCCTGCCCTTCGTACGGTTGGAAATATTGTTACTGGGGATGATATGCAGACTCAGGTATTTTTGCTTAAATTTGTTAATGATATGATTCTGTAGTACTTACTGATTTTATACTATTTTTTTTCTTGGCATCCACGATTTTGAATTCTATTGGCAAAGTACATTTATTAATATATTAGGTTCTATTTTTCCTAAAAAGAACAGACATTTGTTAGTGACGAGGCTGTATTTGTATTGAAATCAAATTCTAATATATGGCCTTATGCTTTTTGCATATGGAAATCTTTATATTTGTCAATTTTATGAGTTGGTTATATACCCACGGGTAGAAATGAATTAGAGAGACATAATTAGGAGTAGCTCTTAGGTGTCCACCTTACAATTCTGTTTTGCATTATACTGTTCTAGTATCTGAAGAGTTAGAACTTGAATACTAGATAGTGACCCATTTAGAAGTGAAAAGGTGTATGTCCTATTCTTCCTTGTCTAATCATTCTTCTACTTTTCCTTTTAATTTAATTTTAAGGAAATACGCTTTATATGATTTGCATTGTGGTTTTTGTGAGTTTTTTATTTATCTTTTGGTTGACATATTTTGCCTCATGAGTCTGTGTCTGATCCTTCCATTTATTTCTTCTTACAGTGTATAATAAACCACCAGGCTCTGCCTTGCCTTTTGAACCTGTTGACACAAAATTACAAGAAGAGCATCAAGAAGGAAGCTTGTTGGACCATCTCAAACATCACTGCTGGAAATGTAAATCAGATACAGGTTGGTGAATCATCTGTATTTTTTTTCAGAATTTCTGGTTGCTTGCTTACTTAGGTACTTCATCTCATATTGTTTTATAATATATCACATGTCACTATTTTCATTAGCTGCAATGTTTCAAAGGGTGCCGTGGGGTAATTGTATGGAGTTTTCAGCTTTTTTTATTTTTTCCCCTATTTTTTTTTAAATTTTGTAATTTTTGGCTTTGTCAATTTATGGAAATTGATTTTGCTGCTTATATTTTAAAAATATATGTAGGCTGTGATTGATGCCAGTATCATTGCACCCCTTGTTCAACTGCTTCAAAATGCTGAGTTTGAGATCAAGAAGGAAGCTGCATGGGCTATTGTTTGGAGGTTTTGATACATTTTGTAATCAATACGTTCAAAACTTTATTCGAAATGATGGGAAGTGGTTCCCTTATACACTTTGGTATTGTACTTGCCATGTAATGGGTTGGATAGACCATTGACTTTCAGTAGATGAAACATTCTTGATTCTCTCTCTCTCTCTCTCTCTCTCTCTCTCTCTCTTTAAATCAATTGAATTAAGAACGTATTCATCAATCCAATTGCAGTTAGAAAGTCTCCCAGCGATGGTTGCAGGCGTTTGGTCAGATGATAGGAATGCACAGCTTGAGGCTACCACTCATTTCAGGAAACTACTCTCAATAGGTTCATCTTTCATTTTATAACTAATTGTTCTTATTATTGTATTATTTTTCACAAAGGTGTAATTAGCAATCTAATTTTTTTTTTATTGAATCTGACTACAGAACGCAGTCCTCCAATCAATGAAGTTATACAATCTGGTGTTGTTCCTCGTTTTATAGATTTTCTTTCAAGGGACGACTTCCCACAGCTCCAGGTTTTAATTAGCTCCCCATCTTATTCATTTGAGGCATTCAATTCATTTATTTTTCAATTATTTGATTTCTGTTCTTCTAATCAGCTTCTTACTGTTTTGGGTGATGTTCAGTTTGAGGCTGCTTGGGCTCTTACAAATATTGCTTCGGGGACATCAGAAAATACTAGGGTCGTGATTGATCATGGGGCTGTGCCAATATTTGTTAAACTTTTAAGTTCTCCAACAGATGATGTTCGAGAGCAGGTATATGTTGTATATGGTCATGTTTTTGTTTTTGCTTTTTTATTTCATTTTTTCTTCTTTCAGCATGCAATACAAGTACAGTATTTAAAGCCATTTTCTGGATATTTAGGCTGTTTGGGCATTGGGAAATGTAGCTGGTGACTCACCTAAATGCCGTGATCTTGTCCTCAGCCATGGGGCTTTGCTGCCATTGCTGGCACAGTTCAATGAACATGCTAAGCTTTCAATGCTGCGAAATGCAACATGGACATTGTCAAACTTCTGCAGGGGCAAGCCGCAGCCTTTGTTTGAGCAGGTTGGATATTGTTGGTTATTATGTGCTTTTTATCTCATTTTTTCTGACATTGGTTACTAATGTCTGGTTCCTTTTATTTTCCATGATCAGACAAAGCCTGCACTTCCAGCTCTTGAGCGCCTTATACATTCAAATGATGATGAAGTCCTCACAGATGCTTGCTGGGCTTTATCATACCTATCAGATGGCACCAATGACAAAATCCAAGCTGTTATTGAGGCCCGTGTCTGCCCCAGGCTAGTCGAACTTTTACTGTGAGTATTTCATTTTCTTTTCTGTATGTTGAATCATTATTTACTTTTTGTTTCTACTTTATTTCAATATCTCACTTGTGAAATCTGAATTCTTTAAACCTGTGTATATTTCTAGTCATCCATCTCCATCAGTGCTCATTCCTGCCCTTCGTACGGTTGGAAATATTGTTACTGGGGATGATATGCAGACTCAGGTATTTTTGCTTAAATTTGTTAATGATATGATTCTGTAGTACTTACTGATTTTATACTATTTTTTTTCTTGGCATCCACGATTTTGAATTCTATTGGCAAAGTACATTTATTAATATATTAGGTTCTATTTTTCCTAAAAAGAACAGACATTTGTTAGTGACGAGGCTGTATTTGTATTGAAATCAAATTCTAATATATGGCCTTATGCTTTTTGCATATGGAAATCTTTATATTTGTCAATTTTATGAGTTGGTTATATACCCACGGGTAGAAATGAATTAGAGAGACATAATTAGGAGTAGCTCTTAGGTGTCCACCTTACAATTCTGTTTTGCATTATACTGTTCTAGTATCTGAAGAGTTAGAACTTGAATACTAGATAGTGACCCATTTAGAAGTGAAAAGGTGTATGTCCTATTCTTCCTTGTCTAATCATTCTTCTACTTTTCCTTTTAATTTAATTTTAAGGAAATACGCTTTATATGATTTGCATTGTGGTTTTTGTGAGTTTTTTATTTATCTTTTGGTTGACATATTTTGCCTCATGAGTCTGTGTCTGATCCTTCCATTTATTTCTTCTTACAGTGTATAATAAACCACCAGGCTCTGCCTTGCCTTTTGAACCTGTTGACACAAAATTACAAGAAGAGCATCAAGAAGGAAGCTTGTTGGACCATCTCAAACATCACTGCTGGAAATGTAAATCAGATACAGGTTGGTGAATCATCTGTATTTTTTTTCAGAATTTCTGGTTGCTTACTTACTTAGGTACTTCATCTCATATTGTTTTATAATATATCACATGTCACTATTTTCATTAGCTGCAATGTTTCAAAGGGTGCCGTGGGGTAATTGTATGGAGTTTTCAGCTTTTTTTATTTTTTCCCCTTTTTTTTTTAAATTTTGTAATTTTTGGCTTTGTCAATTTATGGAAATTGATTTTGCTGCTTATATTTTAAAAATATATGTAGGCTGTGATTGATGCCAGTATCATTGCACCCCTTGTTCAACTGCTTCAAAATGCTGAGTTTGAGATCAAGAAAGAAGCTGCATGGGCTATTTCAAATGCTACTTCTGGTGGTACTAAGGAGCAGATAAAGTATATATTATATTCTTTTATCTCATGATGAAATTTTTACCCATTTATTATTTTCGTACATAACAGATAGCATTTTATCTATATCTGATAGGTTCTTGGTGAACCAAGGGTGTATTAAGCCATTGTGTGATCTCCTGAACTGTCCTGACCCAAGAATTGTCACAGTTTGCTTGGAAGGGCTTGAGAACATTTTGAAGGTTGGGGAAGCTGAGAAAAGTGCGGGTAACACAGGAGATGTAAATGTGTATGCCCAATTTATTGATGAGGCTGAGGGTTTAGAAAAGATTGAAAACCTTCAAAGTCATGACAACAATGAGATATATGAGAAAGCAGTGAAGATTCTGGAGACTTATTGGGTGGAGGAGGATGAAGATGAGCCATTGCCTCCTGGCGATGCTTCCCAAGCTGGATTCCGTTTTGGAGGCAACGAAGTTTCTGTTCCTTCTGGTGGATTCAACTTTAGTTGAAGGTTTGGACTCAACCTGTAATCTTTTATTTTAAGATTTTTATATCAAGTGAAGTTGATTGGGAAATCGTTTTTTACTTGTCATTTTCTTGGCATGAATGAAGTTGACTGTGGGTTAAAATGCGATATTTATTTACCCTTGTCAAGACTGGTTTGTGAAGACATAGGCTGCTTACCTAATCACTTCTTGATAATGGATTGATTTTTTGTAATTCGAGTTTGAGACTGAGCTTATTAGACTGTGAGCTTCAGATGTTCATAATTGGGATGGAGTTGTGTTCGGACTGGCCATTTAGACCCTGGGATACATTCCTGCTGAGCTTTGGGCCTTGTTTCATCTTCTTTTTTTTTATTTTTTTATTTTTTTTAATTTTTAAGTTAAGACTTTAAATATCTTAATGATGTTTCTTTAAAAAAAGAAAAAATATTGTGGCTGATTTTAGATCATTCATCATGACACTATTTGCAATTTGCAGGACATTCAGTTGGTTATAAGAATGAAGGTCAGAGTCCAGGTCTGGTGATCAATGTTGTCAAGCTCGTGTGGGAGAGTTTCTGCTTGCCGTTCTTGGGTCTAGTTTTTGGTCCACATTCAGCTGTAGTTCAAGATAGGCTGGGGAAATGTTTGTTTGGTATGATGGTTGAATAAAAGAGTGGTGCATGATCTGGACTGGTTTAGAAATGTGGTTTCCCTACATGCGGACCCTGGAAATTACACAGTATAGAGTCTCTCCATCTTTTTTACCTTTTTTCTTTTTGGTGGTTATTCTTTTTTAAGTGTCCTCGTTTTTTAACGCAAGGATGGGGCATCCAGCTACCGATCTAAACTTCTCATTAGAGCAACAAAGTAAAAATATATATTTGTTTCTTCTCTTAAAGGTCTTTTTTTTTCTTTTTTAATTCAGATTATTGTGGATCGCATGATTTTGTATTTTGATTGAAAGGCATATGGTATATCCTTTTCGGTTCGGAGGGGAATTTTTTCAGTTTTGTAATATGTCAAAACATTCGAAGGTTAATGAAATATAATGTTTGGTCAACCTCTGTAAACCACTTGCAAGGACACGATTTAGCAGTTGTATCTTTTTTTTCATGTTTAAAATTTTAAATTTGTATACATCTTTTGCAATTGCATGATTTGAAATGGAAGTTCAAATAATTGTGGCATTTGCAAAACCATTTCCTGTCACAGTCCGTGCAATGTGGTTACTTTGGTGAAGTGGTAAAGGGGAACGTGTATTCGTGTTGCAACGGCTATTAAAGTTTTTGCGCTGAATGTCTATTTGCATAATGACGGTGCGATGCGCTCCTCCATTTTGTTAAGTGGATTGTCTTTATAAGTCACGGGTATTTCTGTAAAATTCCAGGCTGTCCGTACCATATACTGGTAGAGAAATACGAATAATACAATGCAACAAGTGTCCATGCGCAAGAAAGAACCAGGAAGTAGCCTTATGCTACTGTACAAAACCCGTGATTAACTTCTGGAAAAGACATTTCCGACTTGTTTTATTCCCATTTTTCTCCTTATCACTCATTGCAACACTCTCCCATTGAAAACCAATCAAATCGTTTACACAGAGCTCCAAGGAGTACTACTATTTGCCACTGTCTATGCTAAGCTTACAATAAAATCAAAGAAAATGAAAAGCCAACTATCTTCTTGCGATGAAGATGAGTACTACTCATCGAGAATGGTGTCCCACTGGTGGAGATCAGCTGCGAAGTTTGATGAATGNCTGGTAGAGAAATACGAATAATACAATGCAACAAGTGTCCATGCGCAAGAAAGAACCAGGAAGTAGCCTTAGGCTACTGTACAAAACCCGTGATTAACTTCTGGAAAAGACATTTCCGACTTGTTTTATTCCCATTTTTCTCCTTATCACTCATTGCAACACTCTCCCATTGAAAACCAATCAAATCGTTTACACAGAGCTCCAAGGAGTACTACTATTTGCCACTGTCTATGCTAAGCTTACAATAAAATCCAAGAAAATGAAAAGCCGACTATCTTCTTGCGATGAAGATGAGTACTACTCATCGAGAATGGTGTCCCACTGGTGGAGATCAGCTGCGAAGTTTGATGAATGTGTTAAGCTCAAGCTTGACCTCCCCGACGTTTCTCGTCTCACACCTAGACTCAGACTGCTTAGGGAGATGGAGAGATTGGCCTTAATTGCATCTGAAGGACTCAATGAGCTTCGACACAAGCTTCTTAACTATAGTTCTGGTGACTTCTGGGTACCCGCTGGAGGGATTAAAAAGGAGGAGATGGACATTCCACCGGTGATCACTATTCTCTTAGTGGGTTTTTCTGGTTCAGGGAAAAGCTCTCTTATCAACCTTATGTACAGTGTTCTTAGTCGCTCTGGACTCTTACTCTTCGCTCAAACATCATCAGGTAAGCACAAAAATGCTACCCTTGCGCCAACTACTTTTTTTTTTTTTTCAAGTATTCTAAACGGTAACCTACTGTACTGGTTTTCCTAGTAAGTTCTTGCGATTCGACAACCATGTACATGGAAGAGCACAATGTGTTGAGGTCAATGCGAAGTGGGTTCTGCGTGTATGATTCGAGGGGGTATGATTATGATAGATTGAGTGAAGGACTAGAGGAATTGTCTTTTTTAATGGGGGAAGGGGTTCACCATAATCAGTTGTGCTTGAGATCAGTCGACTATTCATCGACGAGAAATGACGTTGATGCTGATTATGTGAGATCATCTTCTAAGTTCGTACAGAGGAGGGTGAATTGTGCAATGGTAGTTGTTCACATGGCAGAGATCTACAAAGCTTTAAAAGCAAGTGATTCTAAGCCATTAGAGGCCACCAGACAGCTCTTCTGCACACCCGAGTTGCGAAAATGCAGTAAGTTTTCCTTCTTTTATTCTTTATTATCATCTTTTATTATTTATTATTACTCTTATTAGTAATTTTACCATGCAATTATTTATGATAGTCACATTCATTTGTACGTAATTATTGTCGACGTTGCATCACAAAGCAAGCATAGTATCATAGCTTTCCTCAATAAGCAGGACAAGTCAGTCATGGTTCTTTTGTGCTTATTTGGTAAAGCTTGCTGGGTAGAACTTTTAGGCTTTAAAACCATACATTTTACCATTTACATCACAGATTCCTAACTTCGTGTCATTTTCTCGATAATGAAGCTTGCGGCTTGCATGACCTTCATCATTAATGAATTATGGACTGACCATGCATGGCCTCATATAATGTTATGGCAATAAAAAAATGAAATAGTGCTTCTACAAAACTTACTCTCATTATGGGTAAACTACATTTATGTTTTTAACAACACTTTTGTTTCTAATTATATCACAGCATTTTTGTTTGACGGGACTTGTTCTTCTTATACATAAATCCCACTCTCATTAAAGTATTCCACAGATGAAAAACAAACAATTTTTGTCGTGCTAGTTAAAGTTTGTGCTAAAGTAGTAACAGAAAATCTAACAAATGTGTGTTGGTCTGTCCACTGTGGATACAGATGAGAATCCTATCTTGATATTAACCCACGGTGATATGTTATCAACCGAAGAGAGGATCGATGCTAGGCTGAAAATATGTGAATGTCTTGGTATATCTGAGACGAGTGGGGTGTATGACATTGTATGCCTCACAGAGTATGGATTTCCCGCTGAAGAATGTGATCCTGTTTCAGCCTATGCTGTAACTGAAGCTGTGTACAGGGCATTACTAATCTCAGACAGGGGCCACTTTCCAAAAAATAATCTCCAAGACTGGACAATTCTTATATTGTCATGGCTTATGTGCTTCATTGCCTCTGTTTTCCGTTTCCTTGCTGATATATGCTCCACACTCGGAGGGAGGAATAATAAACTGAAGTTGTGATAGAGATTGTTGTAGAAGGGAGGAAGCATATTTGCTTTGTATAATAATGCCGAACTACTAATGACTAATGACTAGGCGAGTGATAAGTATTATGTATCTCCAACTTTGGAAGACTCTGTAAAATGAAGTAGGCTAATTTATTGACTTGGTGTCCAGAATAAGAGTAGAGATGCTTTTTACAAGGTTAAAGGCGTATCTCCACCTACTTCTGCCGCGTTTCACTTTGATTACATCACAGAAGAAATCACAAGGCTTGTAATATAGCATGTGATAATTTCTTCTGGAAAAAATCTACTACGGAAGTATTTTATAAATCATATTATTAATCGTGTATGCTAATATTTTTCTTCTAACCAATAAGGCAATTTTTTAACGGTCTTACTGAAAGCGAAATCTAACTGTAAATTAAAGTTTTAAATCCTTCCCCCAGTGAAGTTGACATCTAAGTTTGAAGCTGTTATAAAATTATCAATTTCTCCACCCCAGAAAGAAAAAATATTAATCTTGTAAATTAAAACGATACTTTATAACTGCTAAAGCTAACGCTAGTACTTAGCCTACAGAAACAGTAGTAGACTGTTTTTGCATTGTAAAAACTCCACGACCTTTACCATTTTTTGTGTAACTGTAAGCAACTAATATAATTGTAGAGATGATTTTACGTTCTCAAGACACTTTCAGCTTTCTCTCAGACTGGGAGCATCTTCCATTTTGAATGGGCTGGACACTGAAACTGCTCTGAGCCTCAGATACTATTAAAAGTCATGGATGGTCCACATATTTTGTTTTAATTAATAGGGAAATGGAAATGAAATAAACTGATGAAATTATGGGAACCACTAGTTGGTGACACGCGGCAGAAATAATATTATATTATATAGTTACCTTCTCTTGATCACATAATATTAGTGTGCTAATCATGTAGGGTTTTTGGACTACATTACAGGTATGAAGTTGACTGTAAAGTAAAAGGGCTCCATTTTATTTGTTATCTACTGGGAACAAAACCATCACAAAAAAAATGGTTGGCTGTCCGTGCATATGAACCAGAATATATGGGCCGGGTTTTGTCTTTTATTGCATCGTTATCTTTCTAAATTCTAATATTTACATTAATTTTGATATTTTAATTACACGGTAAGCGACACGAATAACCTCCTTGATTCTGCCTCTGGCATCCATCAGGCGACAACCACGAGATCCATATCCACCAGTTCCTCTGTAATTGGTCTTCTGGTGGTCAAACACACATTCCTTACTACAAGCAAAACAAGAGAAAGGAAAATTAAAGAATTTTAAATATATATGATAAGAGTGAACCGTCCCTTTGGTTTTGTTCCCCGATTGTATTGATGGCATGAGAAATTAAATAAACAGCAGCAAAATCTCAGCGCCAACTATTTGACTATCACTTAACAGGTCAATGGACTTTTTTTTTTAATTTTTTAACTAAGATGTCTAAATTAACTTACAAACTTAAAGGATCAAATAAGTTATAATGTTATTATAATAGGTGATTTTAGTGTTAAACCAGATATTGACCCAACTTATAAGCTTAAAGACCAGATAAGTTATAATGTTATTATGATAGGTGATCCTAAGGTTTAAACACAAAAACTCAAGAAAGAGAACAAACTTTTTGATCGTCAGACCAATCTCTCTTGAATTATGTGTGTGTGTGTGTGTGTGTGAGAGAGAGAGAGAGAGAGAGAGATAAAGTGATAACCAGTCAGCTCTAGCAAAGAAACCGCTAACCGGGGATGATGACATACATTTTCCATCTAATTTAATGTATTAACGATGTCCTGCTGCCCCGAGTGACTGACACTATAAAAATATCATTTGTAGTGGCATATAATAAAACCCTCTCTTCCTGTTACCCTAGTTGCTCTGTTTCTCCTCTGCCATTGAATATAACTCAACGTCTCTTTCGTAGCATCTTTACTAGATCACTTCTCTCTTCCACTGATCAATCTCAATGCTGTGTCTATGATTGCAAAATTTGTGTTTTGCTTTGTACTACATCACTCTTCTTCAGGTACTAGTATTCATCTGGTGGCTCACTCTCCAAAATTTTGAGAATAGATTCCCCCTCGTGATTGAATTCTTATTTATATCGTCTTTGTGGCTGTCTTATCTCGAAGTTCTTCCTCTTATGTCTTAGTCGGATCAACCATAATCTCCCAAAAGATGTTTTGAACTCTCTATAAAACGCCTGATCAAAGGCACACACCTGAGATATCCTGAGGTTTCCTTTTCTCTTCTTCAGATAATTGATAGCTAAAATGGATGTGAAGACAAAAGTGAGTGACCTCTTGCTCTCAACAGTGTTCCGCTCTTGTTATTTGGGCCATATTTTTTTGCTAAATGAACTCATAATCAACCACCTTTTCGTTTAATAAACAGGGATCAGAACCAGAGGACTTGAATAGCTCACCACCAAGTGTATCCAACGAGATCAAGAAAAGCTGTGTAGATTGTCACACAACTACAACACCTCTATGGCGAGGCGGTCCAGCTGGCCCCAGGGTAAAGTGATTAAACATCCTCGCTCCCTTCATTGTATTGCACAGTGATATATTTGGTTATTTTAGTTTTTCCTTATTCTCTCTTTCTTGGCATTTTGTTTGCAGTCACTATGCAATGCATGTGGGATCAGGTACAGAAAGACAAGGAACGCAATCTTGGGTTTGGACAAAAGAAGAGCAGAAAAATGTAAGAGAAAGAATAGTAAAGAGTGTAGGAAGCTTGGAGTTTCGGTGAAAATGGGACTGATGGGTGTTGGAGGAGCAATGTCGTTTAAGAGATCATTGAGAGAGGAAGAAGAAGCTGCCATGCTTTTGATGGCTCTATCTTGCGGCTATATGTCTATGCATGGTCCTTAAAAACAGAGTGAAAGCCCTAACAAACATAACAGCCACCCTCTTCTTCACTATTCACCTTTGACTTTATTGTCATGCAGTCCAATCTCCACCGATCTGGATGGAGAAATGGATGTGGTGTATAAGAAAAGCATCAAGGACTAACTTTTGCAGAAAATGAACATAAGAAGGGATTTTCTTTAGGTTCCATGTTATTGTAATTTTGTATTGAATTCATCTTTTAGTTAACTTGATTGGTCGCCTTTTTGTTTTCAATCCGAATCGCATTATGAATGCATTTCGTTCTGTTGAACTTGAAGATATAGTAACTCAGACGAAGCCAATTGTATGATGTGAGCAGATGAATCTCATGAAAAAAGAATGATATTATTGATCACAAACATCATAAGAACTGATAAATTCTTCAACATACAATTAATTCCTTATATGTGCTCATTCCCTCAAAATGCAGATATTTGGATAAACATACATTGGATTATTGTATAGGTTGCACTTTTAAGTTACTGAAATTGACCAAGACTACATTTGAACTTAATTTCCGGTACTTCTTTTACGTCATCAATTACTACTCCAAAAGTCCATTAAAACAATGGTCTCTTTATTTGTTCAAGATCACGAAAATACTTATTTTTGGATCCAACTCCTTGTGTGTAAGATCACTTAGGAAGTGGGTTAAAGTTTGTTGGCACTTAATTTTGGACGCCAATAATTTACACGTGAAAAGGGTTAAGCGGACTTAAGAATCATATATGATGGATCCATGAGATTTGAATATGGAACTGAGATTATATATGTTGCAGAAAACATAAATAATAGGCTGACAAGAGAGGTTTTTATAGTGGTTTGGATGCTCAACAAGCGACTCTTACATTCACTGTTATTTTATTGATCTCTGACTATTTCTATTATTTTACCTGTAAGACATACAAAGATGAAGAAATACAGTATTTACAGAGAGAAAGAATTGAGCTCTTATCTATGGTTAGCTCTTATATGTCTAGTTTCTCTCTTTGGAGAAGAGAAGTGTCAATTTATATACCTAAACATTTAATATAATGTGTGTTTTATAAGTTGATTTGACACATAAAAGATTTTCATCTATTTATCTTTTTAAAATAAGATATAATTGATGTGAATATATGGGATTGACAGCACATTTATTAGGCTGTGACATAACAAAATTAAATTCGTAATGTAGGTCCAAATCTATTCACTTTGTGACATAGTAATCAGAAATCTCTAGAATAAAAAATCCACGAAGTCAAAGTCTCAGTTGACTGTTTGACTCCGATTAGAGAATTCTAGTTGATCCTGCTCAACTTTCGGGAGCCTTCTAGCCGCTCGTAGAAGCAGTAAGCAACTTCCAGTGCATCTGGAGGTCTTTGAATGACACCCAAAGCACAGCGAGGCACTTTAAGCAATTGCCACGTTATACTCTTAACACGTGGCTTCTCTAGAAAGGCGTCCATTTTTCTGCATCGCTTTATTTTGTTCCTTTCTTGTAGACCACCAGCATCAAAGAAACAAAAAAACCTACTCGAAGTTGAGCATAAACCAGAGCTGAAGTTTTAAGAAAGTAGAAAATGATGCAATCAAGATTAGCAGCTACTGCAAAAAGATCGTGCTGGGTTTTCTCGGCGGCAAACAATCAAGTTCTTCAACGAAAATTCCTCGTGGCTGCTGCCTCGAGTGGTCGAACTGCTGACCCCGCCATTCACTCGGGAGAACTTGAAGCTGGCCCTGACGTTCACACTGGAGAACCTCAAGTAAGACTCTCTTGAACTCTCTTAATTACTACTTCTCAATCTCATAGTTCATATTCACATATTTGTGATCAAATAATTTTTTTTTTTAAAAAAAAAAAGAAAAACTAACAGTCCTATTTGTGTAGCAGGGTGCAGATAACGTGACAGCGGCTGAACCGGCTAGGCACAAACTAGCATCAGAACACAAACCCAGTAGTGACGTTATAGAAACCGAGCCACTGGTGACACCTAAACCACCACATATCTCTTCTCCGAGGCTTGAAAGTACCGGGCTAAAACAACCCTTAAACCCCCAAGTTCAACAAAAGCGCCGCAACAGTACTAATGTAGCACTGGAAGACGTGATCTGCATCGGTGTAGATGGCACACCGTTAAAAGAAGACCAAGAAAAGGAACAAAGAGATGAGAGGGAGAAAACACTTGATGAAAAAGAGTATTTTAGTAACCACAAGGCATCACCATTATCGGAAATTAAAATAGCGGACACAAGAAAACCGATAACTCGAGCCACTGATGGAACCGCGGATGCAAGAGCAGATTATGGGGCTGGAAGAGATGTGATTGGGTGGAAACCAGAGCAGCTTGACACTGCGGAGGAATCCCTCAGGAGAGCTACTGAGATATGGAAACAGAATGCCATGCGTGGTGATCCCGACGTGTTTCCACACTCGAGGGTTTTGAGAGAGCTTCGTGGTGAATGGTTTTGACTTTTGATGTGGTGGATTTACATCAAACTTTGCAATTAATTGATTTTATTTTCGAAGATCCAAGTGTTCATAGAATAATGTAATAACTAATTCGGATGTGTTTATGTATTTGAGAGATGTTCAATAGACAATATCTGAGGAAGTTATTTGGTTTGAGATATGTCCTGATAAATGTGACTCAAAAATTCATGGTCATAACTAGAATCATGAGTGTTATTAGAATTTGCCCCAAAATGTAATTCATGTGTTTAGGACCAAGTGGTTTTAATTCCCATTCAAAAATGTGTTTAGGACACGGATTCAAACTGTACGTTCGCAAATTTAATAAATCGACTGGCAACTGAAATGCCTCGGCATTTTGCAAGAGTCTCCTGGTTAATTACTTCTTCAACATTGAAAAGCTAGTTCAAAATTTGAGTTAAATCATTCGAATGATTTCGTCAATCGTCAAAGAAAATGTCCAAAGTATTTATTGTTTTTGTTTCTGCTTCACATCACCTCGAAACCTTTTATTTTGCAATATGTTTATCACTTATCAGCACAGCCACCCATGAAAGCGGTCCATGGTGGTTGTGTGTATCAAATTCCAGGAAAACACAAATGTTGTAGTACGTAATATCTTAAATGCGAGCTGAATTTGTTGCGTTTATTTTGGAATATCTATCTTTTGCGCACATCATAAACTTGTCTTGTTAATTATCATTGATTTTATGCCAATTTTTGTTGAACCGTCAATTCTCCAATTGACGGAAAAGATATAGGCGCTAAAGTGTTAACAACCAACCTTAATTAACCTTTAGTTGTGAGTCGCTTGTAACTTCATTCCAGCAAAAGTTGAACTTTCTGGCCTCAGCCGAACTTAACAGTAGTTTTAAGAGTTGATAAATTGATAACAATACGCTCCAGTCTCCAAGGCATAGCTTGGAGAATGAGAGTGAGCGGTATAGCAAGACTCAAACCTTTTAGCTTTCTATACTTGTGAAAAACGTTGTTGCTTTTCCATTTTGTTGGTATTTTACTGGAAAGAGATGGCCATTGCAATATCTTTAGGGGGATAATTGATGTAGCAAAATCCGCATAGAAAAAAGACTACCTCTTGTTTTATAGATTTTATTTTTATATTATTTTGAGAATGGTATCTTAAAGGATAACATTGAAGGAATATTAGTGCAGTCTCCAATACACACATGTACTCCTATCCTGCTTTCTGTCAAAGCCAAGCAATATCATCATCATCATCAAATTCAATTCATCTTCTTTTGTGTTCCCACTGTTTTTCCAAACTTTTCTTTGCCATATCCCAATTAACTCCATGGCAAAACTACTTATCCTTTTCACCTTCATCCTGGTATCCCTTTCCAACCTCTCATTTTCCACATCAATAACAACTTCTAAAGATCAAACACCATGCACAATGTGTTATTCATGTGAAAACCCTTGCCAACCCCTTCCCTCTCCACCACCACCTGTAATAGTTTGCCCGCCGCCACCTCCACCACCTTCTCCACCGCCACCAAGCGGCCCTCAATGTCCACCACCGCCGAAGCTGCCGCCTACGACGCCCGATACTGGAATTATTGGAGGCGCATATAATCCACCACCGATTGGCGGACAATTTTCCCCACCGAACCCAGTAGTTCCGTATTTTCCGTACTACTATAACCCACCAGCACCACCATCTTCTGCTACTTCCAATTCTGTCACATTAAGACTAAAATTAGTTGTTCCTTCCATTTTCCTTTTCTTTACTATGCTGTGCTTCTTCTAAAACCTAAATGCATTGCAGATTGTCATGACGGTTATGATTTTTTTCTGTTGTATTTCTCAGTTGCATCTCTAGGATTGTCCAAGAATTTAGTATGTCTAGTTAGGGTGACTAGTCAGTAGCCACAGCTTCAGCTTTTCAATAGCATAGGGGGACTGTGGGAGAAGAAATAAGACTTTCTTTTATTATTAAAGAAATGTGTCGTCGTTGTAGATTATAACATGATCTCATGTTTATGATTTAATAAAATTTGTAATATTTTCTTGATAATAGTCTCTCTCTTACATATATATATATAATTTTTGAGAGTTCTTTATTTAATAGAAATGAGAATGAGGTATATGGAATCACAGCTGTAATATTTACGTGCTATCTTCGCAATGTTTGTATGTACAGTTCTGTCGGTGAGGCTGCCAGCTATGAATCTATATCGAACCATAAATGAATTAGCTGACCAAATTAATTTCAATGTATTTTTTCTGAACTTAATGGAGAAATAATTAATTATTAGCAGTCTTCAATGATGCTTCATATGACTGAGTAAAATTTTTATTGAGTTCTTCCCGGCTGAGTTAATGCCCTTTATTTTTTATTTTTTATTTTTTCTATCGAAATACTACTACTTGCATAAATATAAGCAATTTAATTAAAAATTAAGAATTTTGTGAGCAGATCAAATACGAGATTAGTCTTATGTTTACTTTGAGGAAAGTGTGAATAAAACAATATTTATAATTTGATGCGGTGTGGAAGTGGAACATCACATGGAGATGCTAATCTGTGTTAAGAATAATATTTATTTTCAAACTCTAAGGATTGGTCTAATAGTAAAAAATGTTTACTCGTTTAATTGATTTTTTGGGTTAGAACCATCTTAAGATCACTTATCACATTTATAATTTATTTTGAAATATGAGAGTGTTTAATGAGTTTCGAAGATTAGTTGATGTGCACGTAAACTAACTTGAATACCTCGATTAAAAAAAAAAAAAAATATATATATATATATATATATATTATGCTTATATTAAATGTGATACATAACGAGAAAGTTAAGTGAATTACAGATGATGCATTAATAATACAATTTGTGCTTAAAAATGTAGCTAATGTGAATTTTAATAAATAGAAACTGTAATTTAAATAATGAGGAATAGCGTATAAATAAAATAACAAGTAGGATTCTTTTGTGGCACATGGCAATGGGAATGGCGCGCATCAACATTTATTTTCTACGTTTGAAGGAGACAAACCAGGCAATGTGATTGTGAACATCAATCCCACGTTTAATAATCATGCGTTATTTCCACGCTTCTTAATTTTCCACATTAATAATACAAAATTAAAAACCGAGGGCAGATTGAATCGATTCAAGTTCTTGTGAATGTATTGCGCCGCATGCAGCTTTGACAAACAAATTTACATATGCTCATGTCATGGGAATGAAGAAAAAAGTAACATTATGTATCCTTTTCATTTGGTTGCATAGTAGTGATCATATTCATATATCAAAAATGCTACGGACACCAGGATTTTTGCACCAAAATGTTGTACTAGCCTACGTATCCCTCGATTCACACCAGCAAACCAGACACGTTTCACGTTATTTTTATTTTTTTCTAGTGAACGGTCGTTCATCAAATATGGACGGTCGTTCACTTACATGGACTCCCGTCCATATTATATGGACGAGGGTTCATTTACTACAGATGGACATTCCTATTTAAAGGACGTCCGTCCATGAATAAAAAATTCTTATAAAAATTAGGGACGGTCGTTCATAGGTTATGGACGGCTGTCCCTAAATATAGGACGGGCGTTCATATTTTAATGGATGCATGTTCATTAACAATTCTTTTTTAAAAATTAAAAAACATTTAGGGACGGCCGTTCATCCATTATAGAAGACTGTCTCTTCATTTTGGACGGGCGTCCGTAAGGAATGGAGGACTGTCCATAATGTAAATATAAAAAAATAAAATAAAAAACAATGGACGCCCGTCCAAATTCTATGGACTGGCGTCCAGTTAATATGGACGGTCGTCCAAATTATATGGGCGGCTGTCCAAAAAGCACATACTCAAAGCTCTTATTTCCAGTTCAGCTTGCTTCTTCTTCGCTTTTGATAATTTAACCTCCTTCTGCAACAAGATTGTTGGACGGCTCTCTACTTCAACTTCTTCCCATGCTCTGTTTATAGCTACTTATCCTCTTCTGTAGTAACTACAAAAGGACCTAAGAAAGACTAAGATAGGGAACTGGTAAAGAGAAGGAAATCTTGATTGTAAAAGCTCAGAAAAAATAGGAGAGTTCAATAATCAAGTTAAGAAGACCTGCCATTCTGCGGTGAAGACCAAAGTCACAGCAGACGAAAGAGGTAGGTTCAACACTCGTCGTTTCGTTTAGCTTCTGGCTCGCTCTAGTACTTTCATTTGAGAAGACCTGCGATTCGCCACCAATAGCTGTGACTTACGCTGGCTCAGATCAGTCGCACTCCCTATGCTCGCCTTACTTGGGCCACCTACTACAAACCTTAGAGCTCTTTTTTTTTTTCTTTCTACTCGCTCTTCGAAATGTGATCACTACTAGTTAGTTCAGCTTCTCGCTCCGCTCGACCGGCGCTGAGAACAAAAAAAAAAAGTTTCTTTCGATTCCTCCTCTGTCCCATTTGTCTCATGCTCCTCATGCTTTTGTTTCCTCCACGATCTTCTCTGGTCTATCAGTCAGAGTAGTTGCTCGTTGCATGGTCAGGGTCTACATGAGTTGGCCTATTTGTCTCTTGCTCTCGTTCCTTTCATATGTTTACCTTTCTATCCTAACTTTGAATTGTAACTTAACAACTATGAGTAGCAGATTGCCGACGAGTAGCCTATTGCCGACCTTGAGTTATGTCGCTTTTCTTTATCAGTATCAGTCAACTGGAAAGCACTGCCCCTCCATAACCAGCCGCCCTTAGCGGTTCATTCATGTTACGAGGCCTTAGCCGTTAATGAATGACGTTACGAGGAAAACCATGAGCCTCTCCGGAACACGTAACACGACGTTCCTAGGGACAAAGACCTTCAAGCTCTAAGGCTATCATAGTAATGCCAGCATGGTTACATCTAACTGCCCACTGGGCAAGCTTCAACTTCAAAGTCACCTGATTTGGCACCAGCCAAAGGAGTATGAGCAGCAGCTGGGGAACCACCATAACCATCCATGGGAGTAAGAATATGTTTCGCTGTTGGAGCTGTTGTTGCTGCAATTGTTTAAGCAAAAGCTGTCGATACAATACGATGGACGGCGGTCCATCTCATGCGGACGACCGTCCAGATAGCTTCTTTGGTTCAGAGAGCCAGCATTTCCAACTTGACTGGCGTTCAAGGTGCTGTCAACGTTCAGGGGGAAGACCAGAAAAAGCTTGATGTTGTTTCAAATGAGGTTGGTAAGGAATAGAGGCTATCAACACAGACAGTTCAGTAGCAATAGAGGTTGCTACGGCTGCGATAGCACGGGACTTTTGTTTCTGGAGGGTTCGAAGAAGAGTAAGATTCAGCCATTTATGGCTAAGCAGGGTGACTGTGCACTACCCAAAACGGACGCCCGTCCACACTTAAAGGACAACCATCCACAGTCCAACGTTTTTCTTTTATTCTTTAAAACCAAAACAATGGACGGGCGTCCATTCCTTACAAACTCCCGTCCAAAATGAAGGGACGGCCGTCCATAATGGATGAACGACCGTCCCTAAATGTTTTTTAATTTTCAAAAAAGAATTGTTAATGGACGGGCGTCCACCTATGAATGATTATCCCCAATTATTATAAGAATTTTTTATTCATGGACGAGCGTCCTTTAAATAGGAACGCACGTCCATAGTAAATGGACGGGAGTCCATGTAAGTGAACGGCCATCCATATTTGATGAACAACTGTTCACTAGAAAAAAAATAAAATTAATGTGAAACATGTCTGGTTTGCTGGTGTGAATCGAGGGACAAGTAGGCCGGTACAACATTTTTGTGCAAAAATCCCGATGTCCGTAGCATTTTTGGAATCAAGGGACACGTAGGCCAGTAACATTTTGGTGCAAACATCCTGGTGTCCGTAGCATTTTTGGAATCGAGAGACACGTAGGCTGGTACAACATTTCAGTACAAAAATCCCAGTGTCCAAGCATTTTTTATTCACATATAAGTCCAAAATGTGGATAAATTATTTTTGTGTATTGTTATTAATTAATTTTTAAAGAAGCTGTAGATAGGGTAGTCTTATCCGGAGGAGAGAAACATTTGTATTTATTATTATATGCACGTAATATCTGCATCACCCCTGACGCACTCTTTAATAACATTGAAACAGTTTTGCATATCTATAACCACAAACAGTTTTATCACTCTTTAACTGCCAAGGCTCTACCCCGTCCCCATCCCCATCCCCATCCCCATCCCCATGTGCCTCGCCTATTTTTGTGCAATATTATTAACCTTTTTTTTTTTTTTTTGTTGATCAACTCTCAATCCTACAATCTATTTACATTTTAAACGTGTAGAACAATTTATATGTCACTTAAAACCATTTAAATCTACTTCTTTTTATTTGATTGATTCATTTTATTTTTGCTTTTCTTAAAAGGTAAATTGCCCTATTTTTTCAATGTAATTGACAGCTACCAAACGAGGGTTTCAGACTTACAATTTTTGTTTAAACGTATACCATATTTGCAAATAATTAATAATAAATCATGTACCGTGAATTATTATTAAGTAAAATCGCAATCAAGAGTGACCGTGTAAATATATGAATGACAACTTGGTTGTTATACATATACGTATATACATGCATATGACTTCGTACTTGTAGGGTTGAAAATACACTTATGGCCCTACCCGAACATACACATCTGGACCAGGTTTGGATAAGAATGAGTGGTGATTGGTGAATGTGTTACACTTGTTGATAAAAGCCTAACCCCACACACCACAATGCATAACATAAACCACCATCTCAAATTACTTTAAA